ACGAATATACCCTAAGTAATGTTCGGGGAATAATTTTCCGTTTTCAGGAACTCACACCGTCTGACACATGGCTACGTGAAAGATTCTCTCCAAAGACGCTCACTTCCTGTCAAGAAATCTCTATAGCTAGAAGCCTAGAAGCATCTCTCGAAGGTCATAATCAAAAACGCCGAATTAGAAGATTCAAATGGCATCTCAACCTTTTTGTACCATATCCACATTGCCAACAGATTTAGTTATCGATCACCATCAAGAGGTGCCAATAATCTAGTACAATACAGCTAAATGGCTTGAGCTGAAGAAGGTATCTGATTCGAATCATGGTCAGATAAAACCTAGAAATACATTGTTATTTTGCACATTGAAAGTAATATATATTCTCACCGTAAATGATCACCACATCAAGAGATCACTGGTTTTCTTTCTAAAAGTTTTAGCTCATTCATCAATATTATTTCATTTATTTCGTTTTTTCAACAAATGACAGATTAATTTAATTTGTGCACAAAAAAAAAAAAAACATATTAATTTAATTAGACGAAACCATTTTCCTTCATTTTTACTATTCAGCTCTCCAAGGAATTATATGGTCCCATTTTCTTAATTGACTGTCGCAGTACCAACGAAAATACACCACAGTATTACTACTGTCTTTTCTATCGATGTTTAGTTGAAGATACATAGTACTGTGTTTATTTTCTCCCTTGTATCCCCAAAAATGTAAGCTATAGAGAGATACATTGGTTTTAGTTTTGATTTAGTAAAAATATTTTGGATTCATAGTGTGATATGATATATAAAGCATAAGTTGTTAAATTGTGAATTTCTTTATTATTATGAAAAACATTTTTTTAACATTATTTGGGTCGATAAACCAATTTTTAAAACTCGAGGCAACCCGATTTGCTTGAGTCGAACTTTGGTGAAATACCGTTAACCATTTGACTAAAAATACCTCTCAAATAAAATATATTTTTCAATAGTTTATGGATATGACAAGATACACATTTTACTCGTGGGTAGGGTAGTGGCTTACACTTATATAGACATTATAGCTATATATGGCATTTCACTGAATTTGGGGAATTTACTGTTAGATAATGGTTTGCTCTGTTTACTTACGAGTTTTACCTTCTGAATATTATAGTTGGAGACAAAAGTTTAATGCTTTAAAAGTATGATCTGGAAAATCCATTGTCTTGCAAAATTAAAACATTTTATTTGACAGATGGCGGGAGCCACAAGTTTATTGGCAATTAACTTCCGGTTGCGTCATAACAAAAATTAATTGTAATAAAAAAATTTCAAATATGTGTGGACCGGTGGAAGAAACGTTATTCTTTTTTTTTTTGTTTTTTACATATGTTATTTGAATGTCCTTCACCACAAAGTTGGGTGATCGTTTTGATGCAAATAGTAGTAAATGTTTTTTTTTTGTGTGGTTAATCTGGGAGGTAAGGAACCAAAAAAATAAAATTAAAGAGTTGAAACCATTAACCATCGGAGATTATAAATTATGCATTAAGTGAATTCTCCGCTGGTAATGCAGCACAAAATACCCTTTAGCCTACTGTATTTCAGGAGATGCAGAAAGTGATAATCCATTTATGAAATGTCAAATAGACGAATCTTGGGAAAAATACAGATTCTATCTTGGTTTGGGTTTGAATTGTAATAAGAGGGACAACCGAACATTTTTCTAAGTGCTAGATGTTAACGATGAAACATGTCACATTGTCACTCGGAAATTATAATTTTTATTGGGTATGCGACTATTTTTGATCAAAAAATAGACTGCCAGAATTTAGATGGACTACTCAATCTCAATCTCTTGACGATTGAGTTTTCCATACATTTAACTATTTAAGACAAGTTCGGTTAGTTTTAAACTTGCTTTTTTAAGTTTTTGTTTTTTTTTAATATATCAGGGGAGCTAGACTGTCTAGTTTGTTTTCTAAAAGAAAATTTATCGAATTACTTTTTATAAACTTATTTTTTCGAATTTAGATAATCAATCAAGGAGTTTTCTTTTAATATAATGTTTGGTTGATAAAAGTTCAAAAAAATTGTTTTATAAATAGTTTTATATATTAGGACTTAATTTACATACATAATTTTAGCTATTTTTTGCTGTTTGGCTCCTAATTTGAGCTAATAAAATCTGTTATTTACAAAAAGGGATTATCTAATTATCTTATTATAAATAAGCTTACATAACAATAAATCTTAAACAGAAAAGGAATTTGGCGTACTGTTAATTTACAAGGTGTCTTAACAGAAAAGTTTAGAGATAGTTAAAGTATGTTTTAAATTATAATTTTTCTTCTTTTTTGGGAAAATATTAATTCATTAAACTATACCTTGTTCGGTACAAAGCCAACTTTGCTTTCATTTGATGAAATGAATCAATGATTGAGCTTTATCCATCTTTAAATTTGGTTGAAATGATTACACTGAACTAATTAACAACGTGAGCAAATACAAAACAATTGTTAATTCGATTAGTGCTACATAGTTTGATAAATATAATAAGAAATGTTGACGGCAAACTGGACCGGGGTTAGTAAGTTAATGTATATTCATTAGTGACGCTTTGTGTGAGTTCTAGTTGCGTAAGAAAAAGAAAAAAAAATATCTAATTTTTCATATCTATACTAGTATAATCGCAGCACTTTTTGTGACGGATGGGTAAAAAATCTTTCGGGTATATCGGATATCCGACCCGTTTTAAAAATTCCTTCACAAAAAATTTGTTGGGTCGGGTTATATTTAACCCAACTCATACACCGGATATTCCATATTTAATAATTTAGATATTTAGAAGATTTGATTAAGATTTATAATTATGATTCTCCTATCATCTTTGTTTGATTTGTTTTTAACTATTTTGAATCATCAAATAATACTTAAAGTAAGAAAAAAATCAATTTTTTTTTCTGCATATACTGTGATTCGAAATTTTAAAAACGGACATATATTATCCAATTGACGAAAATGTGTGTTCAACGTTTTACATCGATAAAAATATTTAGACAATGATTCAGAATCATATCATAAATAATAACATAAAATAAATGAGTTTTTTTGCCGGACGGGTTTGGCGGGACGGGTTTTTGAATCAACAATAATAAAAAGATTAAAATATCATTAATCCGCCGTTTCAGTACGGATTAAATCTTTTTTTTTTAATACCACAAATATTGGACATATTAAATCAGTCTCATTTAGAAAAGATTGTATAAAACCAAAAATTGTCCCGTGGTATAATGTCCCGTGGTCTTAGAGGATGATATGATTTGTAAACTTTAATATATAATAAATAATCATTAAATTTTAAAATAAAAACAAATCACGGGACGGGTTAAGAAATTACGGAACAATTATATTTCGGAAAGGATTTATATGGCGGACGAATTTGAATCAATATTTATATACCGCTTCAATACGGGTTAAATCCTCCGTTTATTAATAATTGTCTCGTGGACTCGTGGTATACCGTTACTTAATAACAATTATAAACTATAATATAAATAAATATGTTATAAGGAGATACAATTTACAAAATGAACAATTCTTGGGTTCACCCCTAGGGGTGAACCACTTTCATTCACCCCCTCTTAATTATCCAATTAGAATTTGCCATGTCATCTAGTTAAAAAAATTAAAACAATTATTTTCTAAATAAAACAATAAGATTAAGTCATAACCACTCTTTTATAAACCCAAACCGATATATAATCTCGTTTAATTACAAAATCTAAACCCTAATTCTCTTTTGTAAACCCAAACCGTCATTTAAATTCGTTTAATCGTAAAAAATCTAAACCCTAATCGTACTTTCTAAACCCAAACCGACACTTAACCTCGTTTAATTGTAAAATCTAAACCTGTTTATAAACCCAAACTGATAGTTAAACTCGTTTAATCATAAAATCTAAACCCTAACCCTTTCTAATAAACTTAAACCGATACATAATTTCGTTTTAGTGGCAAATTAAATTTTATAATTAAATAAATTTTTTTATTATTAATAGGTGGCATATTTTGATTGGATGAAATGCAGGGGGTGAACATAAGAGGTTCTTACAAAATATTTTTATACTAACTTTAAAATTAAATCATCCCGCGGTGTACCGCGGGTTAAAATCTAGTTATCAATTTAATTTTATATCTTTAGTTACAATTCTTTAGTTTTTACTTAAATTAATTTTACATATTTTTTAATTAATTATATATTTCCATATTTTACATATTGAGATAAATTAATTATAAATTTCTTACACCACTAAACTTTACTTAGTAGTTGTATTAGTTTTATATTTCCTAGTATTTAATTATATTTGTTTTTTTTTGTTATATTAGTCTTACATATCCATATACTATTAGGCCATCTGCATCGGTGGATCACCCCCCCTGATCTAAGCAATATTTTAATCCAAAAAAATAGGCTAATGGGCTTAAGATCAAGAACTGGGCTCTAGACCTGGATCTGTTCTTGTGGGTGTTGCGGGGTGACGTGGCATTTGGGCATTGGTTGGAATATTTGGGGTGCGTTTTCTTCTCTTCTCTCTCTCTTCACCTTATTTTAACATTATATTTTCTCTAAGAACACCCTCACATGATCCCCCATTGATGATGCCCTTACATTCATGCCCCAGCACAGTTTATAATAAATATATAGTCAATACATATATGCAATAAATACAGACATCATACATATTTGGTATTTACATCATCACAGTTACATATATAAATATATTACTAGTTTACTACTAATCTCTTCCACCAAGAAAAACAGCATATTATATACACAGTTAAAAAAAATGTTTCATAGTTATAAATGGGCTCCAACTCAGCATCCATGATATTTATAAATATATATTCGATTAATATACACAGTAAAAGAAGTCATTACCTAGTCGTTCTTTAAATATAAATGGGCTCCAACTCAGCATTCATGATATTTATAAATATATCCACCCTAGTCTTAATGCTTCACTACTCAAACAAGTTTCTGAAGGAGAGACAGCAGAGAGAGGGAGAGAGTAAAAGCTAAGAGAGAGAGCGAGACTGGGAGAGAAAAAGAGAGAGATCATTTTGGTTATTAAGTAATTAACATACTAGTTAATTAACTATACTAGTCATGGGTTTTATCGATGGAAAGTGGGCGCCGATGATCGTCATAATTGTGACTAACATGATTGCGGGAATGGTTAACGCTTTGATTAAGAAAGTTCTTGATGGAGGCATTAATCATATGGTTATTGCTACTTATCGTTTGGGTATTTCTACTCTTTTCCTTCTTCCAATCGCTTATTTTTGGGAACGGTAGGTTTACTTCTTTTTTTTTGTTTCAAATTTATTTTCCTAGCTTAATAAACTAAACAAAAAATTTAAAAGTTCAAGGCAGTGTTTTTAAAAAAAATGAATTTTGGTTACTTAAAAGATGACGAAAATAAAACGTTTGATGCTTCATCTCTATCTATTTTCTTTTATAATTCTCGTTAATTACTCTATTTATTTTATTTATTTCATAAAACAATTGTAAATTAACTTGTAAAATTATTCGAGAATTTTATGAATGTTTTCTATGTACGGATATGGAATCAGAATTGTGTGTGCCGAACAAAATAAATATTCGATCTCATGATTTATTCAGGAAAACAAGACCAAAGCTAACTCTAAGCATCTCATGTCAGCTTTTCGTCAGTGCCCTTTTTGGGTAAGTTTCGGCTTTAATCCACTAATTAATCTTTATTGTTTTTATTTGTTTTTGTATGTGAGATATAATCTTTTATTATAATCTTTCTTTTTCAGGGCGAGTTTGATGCAATATTTCTACCTGCTTGGACTCTCCTACACGTCTGCAACGCTGGGATCTGCTTTCTGGGCCATAATGCCTTCTCTCACTTTCGTTATGGCTTTAATATTTGGGTACTAATTATTATATAAAAAAGGTCAATATAAATAAAACTTTCATCATTCCAAGTGTAAACTTACGTCTAAATATTTTGATAAAAATATTTGCAGGTTCGAAAAGCTAACTTTGAAAACAAAAATAGGATACGGCGTCGTTCTTGGAACTTTGATATGCTTAGTAGGAGGTTTACTTCTTACTATGTATCAAGGCATTCCATTAACAAACTCTCAAGAACAAGCAGCAAATTCAAACAACCACACAGGACATGAGAATTGGATCAAAGGTTGTTTCTTTTTATTGACCGGAGTTATTCTTTTCAGTTCTTGGATGCTTATACAAGCCAAGATCAACGTGAATTACCCTTGTCCATACTCGAGTACCGTTATTTTGTCGGTCTTTGGTACACTTCAATGCGCCCTTCTTAGTTTAATAAAGACTAGACATTTGGAAGATTGGATCCTCAGAGACGAGCTTACCATCATTACCGTCATTATAGCGGTATATATATAAGACAATTTTTCGTCGACATATAAATAATTTCGATCCACGATAGATATATTGATCTATTGTTTGGGTATATATGTTTATAGGGCGTGGTTGCACAAGGAATGTGTACGGTGGGCATATCGTGGTGTATCAAACAACAAGGACCTGTCGTTTCCTCATCATTTAGTCCTGTCGTGCTTATGTCTGCAACCTTGTTCGATTTCTTGATTCTCCATCGTGTGATTTATTTGGGAAGGTATATTATAAAAATCTATAAACCCCCTGAATTACAAATATATATCATGTGCATGTTATGAACTAAAATTTTATTGTTGTTGCAGCGTTATCGGATCGGTGGTGGTTGTGATCGGTTTATACATATTTTTATGGAGTAGGAGTAAGCAAATAGAAGAGTGTAAGATCATGAAGTTGCCTACTAATACGGTGGAAGAAGAAAAGGAAGAGGAAGGCCGTACAAATGTTAACATGGGCCAGCTTTTGGTTATACCGATGACTCCTTGATCTACTTCCCTAAACACTCTTGTTCAACGAGAAGGATCGATATGTCTTCAGAAATTAAATATGAAGAAGAGAAAATGATCGTTTTGATTGTTTATTGGACTATTCATCACTTGTATTGTAACGTTTAGCTTTTTTGGATTTTAATGTTGCGGGATTCATTTGGATATTGTAATTTGTTTATATGAATAAACAGTATCACATTTGACCTTAATTGACTCAACGAATGATTCAATCCGCATAATTTGACAGATATCTAGTTTAGCAAATCCACAAATATAAATAGACCATTTAATTAATTTAAATGATTTAGTTATAATAATATCACAAATTAAAATAACTCAGTTTTGTTTGAAAAATTGAAATCATCATCAGTCCTAAAAGTTTCAACATAATTCGATTCTCGACTTCTCGTGGATTGTGTGAAGTAGTCTGACGTCGGCCTTATTTATGAGAATTATATTAGTAAACGGTCAATTACTCACAATTTATGAACATTATTTCAATTTTTGTTCTGTAAATACGAAATTATTGCAAACGTTAACAAAAATCAAGCAATATTTTATTTTTTTCTTAAAGGCGAGTACAGTATTTGTTGGGCTACTATGCCTTATTCTTACTTTATTTTTTTCATGTCATATATTTATATGTTTAAACTTTAATAAATAGTAGTATTTCTTTATTTATAAATCATTAGTTCATTACCCACCAGCTTAAATGGATGAATTTATTTTGTTGTCAAAAAAAAAAAAAAAAGTTCATTACCCACCAGAAAAAGAAATCGCTACTGCTTTGCTTTTTCTTTATAATACTGCTGAGGAATGGCACACGAAAGAAGTGAAAGCTCAATCACTTCAAAATGATTTTTAGGATCCGAACAAGTGAAAAAACCATATCGAAAACACACATAATATGCAAATATATACAGGATGACTCTCACTCAGCAGTCACCAAATCAGGAACTAATATAATAAGTACTTTAAGAGCATTTCCATCGGATAGAAACCCTGAAAGTTTCTTCAAAAAAAAAAAATTATTATTTTAAGATTGTAATTTTATTTTTATTTTTTTCTATTAATTGGACTATTAGGACTATGACATGTGGCAGTGACATCATAGAAACAGTTTCTCAAAGTGTCTGTGCAGAGAAACGTATCTGCTTTATTTCCCTTCTCTTTTTTTTACTCCCTCTGTCCCAAATTATAAGAGCTTTAAGGGTTTTTTCTTTGTTCCATTTTAATAGATTTTTTCAAGTTTCAATGCACTATTTATATTTATTTAATAATTTTTGAGTGTTTAAAGTATGCAGTCTTTTTTTAATTGGTTGAATTTTTATAAATGAGAAAACATTTATTGTTTCTTAATCCTTGTGCTTTTAGCCAAAACCTCTTATAATTTGGGACAGAGGGAGTATAATTTTTTATTAATAAATGTCTACTCAAGACATCCTTGATGGAGATGGTCTAATATATATAAATGTCGCATCGTTAAACGAGAAGGGGTCTCTACCAAGTGCTCGCTATAAAGCATGGTTTTTTCTTCTTTGTTTTAAAGTTTCTTAATAAAATCATAACTTTGTTTAAAGTGATCATACATTAAGATCATCATTTTATTTTCACTATTTTCACTTTCCTCAACTCCTTCAAACAAAATTGCCTAGGAACTTTGAGATGTACAAACTCAAATATTCCAAAAAATTTATTTACGTAATTAGAGTAAACTTTTTTGAATCTCCATTAAATTTTCAAAGGCACACCAGTTTTTATTTCGGAGACGTTTCCCGCGTTTTCGTCATTAATTCCTCATTCCACCATAACCATTTATGTGCTTAGGTTTTTGTTGCTTTCAGTTTTGTCATGTTGTTTTTTTTGACTAGAATGATGTCATGATAACTAATGGCTACCGAGATATTGTAAAACTAACCCACAACTACACTTTGGAATGTGTAATCATGACGAGCTTCTTTTCCACGTCATTCTTATTAAATGAATTCACAAATCATGAATATTTTATTTTGCTGCAATATTTTTTTTGTAATCTTTAATTTTTGTACCACCTTTTAAGTTTTGTAATCATAAATATCTAAATCAAAATTCACGTTAAGTTTTAAATTCTACATTTGTTGCATGAAATTGACGGCGAGAGTCCGTGACTAGAAAAAAAAACATTTTAGTGAAGATATATATATATATATATATATATATACTTATCACATATATTAATGAACGATTTTTAATTTTACGTACATGTTTGATTGTTTGACCGTGGAATTTATATAGTAGCAGCCATAATTACGGAATTAGTGTGAGCTTTATCCAAAAAAGGGTTAAATTAGTAAAACATAAAACTAGTGAAAAAGACGATAATATATGGTGTAATAAAATATGTTTGAAATTGTCTCGTGGTTACTTAATTCGTGGGGTGCGTTGGCTAAATTTATATTTATGGCTTCGCACTTTTAATTGCATGGCGAACCCCACGAGAGTTTCTTATCTTTTAGCAAGAAAGCATGCATGAACACATGTCAGAATCACCTAGCATCCGATTTCGACCGCTTAATTCATGCATAACATATATATTTAAAAAAGTAATTAAAGTTGAAAATCCATTATATACTCTTTTTTAATATATAAAGGAACACGTAAAAAGTGGTTATGGTTATACATTGAAACTCTTTATTGACCAAACGACTCCGGACTCCCTCACTGATCACTGATCAATGACATCAAAATAATTGAGCTTTTCTCAGCCACATCAAAATTATTGAATTTACGACATCAAATATCATGCATGTTTTGTTTATATAGTCTTTTTACAAAGTATCTAAAATTGAGTATATATTAAGAAAGAAAAATTCTATATTTTTTGATTAGGTTGAACTGTTGAAGTATACTATTTTTTTTTAAAATCATACAATAAAAGACGTAGTTATTTCCGCAACAACGTTCCGAATAGGTATACTCCAAATTTGCCCAGAAACAGATCGACCCATTAATATGTATACAATTTTAGAAGGAGCTTGTAATGAGGGTAAATAATTTTATTTTATTTTTTTATCAAAAAATATTATGTTTTAAGATAAATAATGATTATTGGTTTTTTTCTTTCATTGTGGCAGGAAAATCAACTCAACTGTTTTGGATACAAATTCTTAGAACAAAACAAAAACAAAGACAAAAACAAAATTATAATGATAATTTAGAAGAATGGCTGTATAAGAATATTTTTTTTTTGTTAAAGTATACAAATATTTAAGATTAAAAATGTAAACAAGAAAAACAAACACCCTGGTAAAAAGAATAAATACATTTAAATTTAGTGCAACTATATAAATTTTTTTTGTCAAATATATTCATCGTAATTATTTTTACTGATTGGTCACGCTTAAACACTACAAATTTCATCTGTGATAGATAATGTTTTCAAAGTAGTTTCGAGACGTCCCTAAAGTCCGGTTCACCAACTATATATGTAGTTATATTGCTCACTTTGTTTTTTTTTTTTGTGTTAGTTTTCTTTTGCTCACTTTTGATAATGTTGTAAAATAGTTATTTGGTATTTTTTAAAATGGAAAGAACAGGCAAGTTGATATATTAATACAATTCCAACTCAAGTTAGTGGACTAGAAAGTATTTGCAAATGGACAAGATCGAAAACATATATTTCACGAAAAGAGAATGGATCAGTATTCTATAAACGAAATGCGTCAAAAAGCTTGGTCATATTGGAGGTTTTGGTCGTTCATCTTGAAAGAGACAAGGCTCGGAGCTTTTGTACAATTTATTATTGATTTAGGCGCAATCAAAGAAAGCAAAAGCCGATTTGTAACACGAAACAAAAATCGTATGACGTAACGACTATAAATATATCAATTGTTTTTTTTAAAGAAAGAAATGGATTTAAATTTAATTAACTGAAAAGCTATAGATAAGGTAGATTTTGCATGATTGAACCAATGCTTTGTCTCGAAATAAGATAATCGTTGGGTTAATGGATGAGGCACCAAGTGTTACTTGCATATATGATATACTTATAAATGATAAAATCAGGGGCATTGCCATTTCGACATATATTCAATGTCATATTTTCTACTTCCAAAATATTTTTTTAAGAAACTAGTTAATACGGTGGCTAATACGGTGCCACCAGGGTTCGAGGCACGGCCACTGGCAGGTTTACATAGGGGAATTGCCAGCCTCGTGGGATTAGTCCTTGGGCCTAGAAAGCCTTTGGGAGACCCGCGGTTATTCAAAAAAAAAAAAAAAAAAAAAGTTCCAATGCAAAAGGATTATGCATCCACTCAGTGGCTTTTATGTCTTCCAAAGAGAGAAAGAAATCTTGGTTTCAGATATTATGAGTAACAGAGACATTCTGGCTAAATAAATACTTCATATCTTTCAAATTAAACAAAATTTTAAAATCTTCACATATATTAAAAATTAAATAAAAATTTCATTACAAAATGCATCTACATCATTTTATGTGATTAACGATTTTTTTTTAATTCTAATTCAATAGTAATCATTTTTTATTGAAGTTTACAGGTCATCATCATTAACTAATAAAAAATGCATTGAATTTTTTAAAAAAAGAATTTCTTCTAAAACTTGGATTAATTCACGATATTGATTATATACATGACGTATCACGGTATCAGACTATGAGACAGTAAGCCACCTTAATTAGTTACATACCAAATGTTAGCCACCTTAATTGGCTCATATTGGACCCGTTTTTTGTTTAAGCTAAGGCGATATTTTTCTCTATCCACTTGATGATTTGAAAGTCCTTTCCTTCTCTTTATATTTTATGTATAGATTAAAGTAACAGAAAATCGATCACGTCTTTCAAATTGGTAAATATTTTACTATAGATATGACTTGAATGTGAAAAACAAGAGGGCATTCAAAAAACAAGCTTTTACAAAACATCCTTTTATTCTTATTTTTGTATGCTTTTCTTCTCTTCCTCGTCATTATCCACCAATCCTCTGAGAGGGAAAAAACAAAGCTGCTTCTAGATTTTTTTTTTTTTTTGATAAAAGGCTGCTTCTAGAGTTTTGTTTAACTTTTTTCTTTCTTTAGTAGTAACTTTTTATAGTGCAAGTTTATCCTGTAACCTCTTGTACTCGAATGATTTTTCCATCGCCAACCAAATTCGAATACGTAAACAATATATCCATTGATTTCTCGGTTTTCTAACCAATT